ATTGAGAAGTGAAAAGTTGAACCTTGGAAAGTTTTCAGTAATTATAGTAACTTTCTCATCAGTAAGAGGCCAAAACATAGTTAAAATTACAAAATAACAGTGCATCAATGGTGTTACAGCATTCAAGGAAACATGCTATACCAGAATGAGATCAATTTAAAATATCTAAACATAATGGTTTATAATGCCTATTTATATTCAAATAATTATCTGGCGATGTGTGCAACATTATTTCACATGATTGTTGGACCAGTGTGTAAGTTTAATTTGGAACATATGGTAGTTTTCAAAACTCGTCCTTAAGATGTGGATTTTCTTTAACCAATTCACTCCAAACTATTTAGACACTTTGAGTAAACAGATAGAGAAACAGCCATTGTGCATACATACACTCAAAACGGTACAATAGAACAGAGTAATAATGGTATGGAAGTGGTCAAATCTTGGGAAAACACCGAATTGTAAAAGCTGGTTGTCATTATTTCATTATTTTCTTTGCTTGTAGCTCAATTCAAAGTCTCTGACATATTCAAATTGGTGTCCCTGTATTGCAGGAAATAATTAACTTTACAACACCACCTCCACAATTTGTGATGTAATTAGTAGTATTGAGCAAGGGCACCTGTATTGGGCCCTACGCTACATAACAAGGTTTAATTACCAGATGCTTGTTTCTGCTTGGTTTTGTGTCACAGTCAGTACTGGACATGGCTAACACAGCTCAGCTTTTGCATGAAGATGTGTGAAACTCTCTCATGTTGGAGTCCTCTTGTGGCTTCAGTCACTACCAGTCTCAGTGTGGCCTTTCAATGAGCAAAACCACAGCTGGTGAGGGAACCCAAACACTTCCAGTCATTTCATCAGACCTCAGCTGCAAATCTCAAGAGCAACACAAACAAAATGACAGTGCCGATGTTTTGCCAGCTCTGTTACCACAATAAGCAGGTGTCTTTTCAGGGTCCGTTTTTGTGGAAAAAAAAAAGGTCACAGGCAGACCTTAACATCCATCTGGCTTTCAATTGTTTACAACAGAACCATTCAGCAACCAAGTTTAGGCCTATCCTGAGGGCACGGACAGCTAGCGTGTGCAGCTATTTTTAAAAGCCTAACTTTCAAGTCAGGGAGGAGGATTTGGAAAGGCTGGGCCGCAAGATGTGTCACTGCTGGTTGCGCACACAAGGGAAAAGTAAATGACTGACTTGAGCCCCCGCTGCCTCCGTGAAGCCTGTCGCTGTCACTGACAGAGCAGAAGAGGAAGACAGGAGAGCGCGTGTCTCGCGTTAAAAACTAGGCATTCATTTCCAGCTGACAGGAGGGGCAGGAATTTAATCATAGTTAATAAAAATCTGCCCTTCCTTTACTCAGCTCGCTGAGCTTCTAATGAATCTGGTCACAAAGCTCACTGTTCACTACCAACCTGAGCCCACCTTTGTGGTTCATAAACGACAACCTCTGGATCAGAAATGTCTTCTTTAGAAAGACTACAAACAAGAGACCATCTGACCCATATCACAGCTTTTCTGACATGTGATACTAGCATAATTAGCAGCTTTCCAATTTCTAATGCCCTTTTCTAATCACTCAAAGGTCACTCTTGATGGGAATCAGAGATAAAGCACTTTGCATAGCCAGAGGGAGAGACTCTTATTACCCATTGGAATTACACTCTTAAACACATTAAAATGAAACACTGCAATAATCTTTTCTGACTGCTGACAGACACTGTGCAATATCCTGGGAGACAGTCAAGCAGAGGGGAAGTGACCTTTGAACAGCATCTCTGATGTTTTCCACAGCCATGCTAATTAATAAAGTGTAAGGCAGGCTACAGTATGTTTCGTTTTTTAAAATAACTACTTGATTCTGGACATATTTGTCTCATTTGGCATATTAAAGAAATGGCAGTTTCCTAAACAATCTACAAAGCCAACGACTGGAATTAGGAGTATCTGCTTACAGCATTTCTGAACCTATGCTCGCAGTCCATTCTGAGATGAGGTAGAGATTGCTCTTACTTCTCCTCTCTGGCCAATTTGCATATGAAAGCAAAGTTGCTACCTTGTCATAGGCTTACAAAACACACCACCTGTTTCCTATTGTCTGCAAAGAGAAAAGGGGAAATGGACTTTAGAAATAAGCCCTTTTGCCAAAAAAGGTTCACACCGCAGTGGAGTGATTCGGCAAAAAACAGCAGGACAAACATTGTAAAGACTATAAAGACAAAGTGTTGTGAAACTGTAGCTAAAATCCATTTTAGAAATATACTGTCATGTACTGTGTAACTGTCATGAGTCAACAGTTCTTTTTGGGATCAGAAAAGACAAATCACATGGATAATGCACATTTGCTTCTTTATCTTAGAAATAATGCAGCATTTGTATAATATGGTCTGTTTATTGGTGGAATTAAATGGAGATCTCCCCACCTAGTGAACAATATCTGGAATCTTACCTTTCTTTAATGACAGACCCAAGCATACATTTGGCTATGCAGGTAATAGACATACTGTAAGGTGAAGTCCATGCCCCATGTATTTTGAAACATTTTGAGACATCAACATAAAAAAATCCAATTTGGTGTGTTTATTTTGACAGGAAGTATTCTGGAAATTTATTTTAAAAGGTGTAAACTTTAAAAAACTGAATGATGTGAAACTGTTTAAAAGTGATATACTCTATGTTAATTAACAAAGAAATACTCCTCATACACTTACAGTACCTACAGTATACTGTATGTCATGTTAAGTATTTTTCAAATCTTTTCAAGTAATTACATGACCAGTTGTAATTGTGGGGTTGTTATGTTACTCTTACTCTTACAAATGCTGTTTTTCAAAGCTGTTTACTAAAAAGATTGTATATTTTAATAATTAGGACTTATCTGAGTGTATTATTTTCTAAAAAACAGCCAAAAATGAAAGAAAGTCTTCTAAATTTAGACTGTTTCAAAAATTATATTTACAAAAACAGATAAGCGAGCACAACTATTTTTTTTTTATCAATGCACAGAGTATAGAGCTAGGTTTACAAAGTGTTTGTTTCAACTGAATACTGTATACGTTCCCAAAAAGCACAAATAGCCCTGAGCAAAAAACCTATAAAATATAATTCTTTTACAACATAAAAGATTTACAAACAGAAAGCAGGAATATTCAAGGCCATTCTTTCTTTGTTGTATTAAAAACCTTTACATACAGTACAGCAGCAACAAAGATTTTGTTTTGTAAAAGGTTGTTCTACAGCTGTAAATCTGAGCCTGAGGTTATGTGAAGTGAAAGGGAGCAAGTGAAAGGGAGCAAGTGAAAGGGATAAATACATTATTGCAATGCTAATTTCAATAGGAATATTAAAGAAAAGGAAATACAGTGTCATTGTTAGAAGATTTTGTGAAGTTTTCTATCAGGAATTGTTCCGTTGGTAGATGGACCTACGGGATTGTATTAAGTAGACATACATGTTGAGCATCACACAGTGAGCGTGTAGTTTTGAGTCATAGCCCACCACATACAGTATTAGATAAGTGGATAATAGACAGTGAGAGCTTTGACTTTAAAAACGTCACATTGAAAACACTCCAAACTCCTTCAAGCAAAACATTTTTCAAATCTACATAAAGCACATATTAGTGCTTGTACACACATGAAGTACACGATACTGTACCTCCTTCACTTATTGGTTAATCACTTTTTAGCCACAGACCTTAAATACTGAAACTGCATCTTGTTCCCTTACAGCTGGATCAATTTTGAGATGAGACAGACAGACAACTTTTTTTGAGTTACAGAAGCCTTATTAAAATAAAAAATCTGTCGGCAGCCCATTTCGTAGGACATCTTCAGAACTGTAACGTGAACAGTACTGTACGACAATAAAGATCTGGTATTTTGTCATGAATAATTAACGTTGTAAAGCTTCTGCATTATTGAATACTGAATGAAACTGTAACAAAACTATGGATACCTGTCACAGAAGGAAACATATTGAAACAAACGTTATTCAATCAAAGCATCCTACATCTACATAAATTAAATTGCCACAGCATAATTCATTTCCTAAGCCAAATTATTTTAATGCTAGCAAATATGAAGTTCTAATGGCACACAGATTTGGTCAATAGCAGTTCATTAAAGGGTTAGCTTTCTTTAATAGATTAAATCTAACCGCTTTGGTAAACACGGTGTATTGCTACAGTAGCTGTAATATTAGAAGTCAAATAAAACACAGCCCCAACATCATGACAACAGATTGTAGCTGTTCCCATGGTTACTTTATCAGGACCTGCAGCTGATCCCAACGATCATCTCTGAGGAGCCCTGTCATCAAACTATAGTGATTTATCAAGAAAGGAAAATACACTTTACAATTTGTTTTTCTTATGTAAAAACAGTGGTGGCTACCCCTGATATAGATAATATTGTTACTTAACGAAGTTTAATGAACAATAATTCACTTAACCAACGCCTTTCTTAACTAAGGCTTTGGTAAAAACTCTTAACCAACAGCAGGAACTGTGTATGAGCATATGCAATATCTTCCTACAATGGAAAAAACCCTTTGCCCTTATGCTCAACTTGACCACTTAAAGTTTTTCCAGGTGCATGCATGGTTTCTGGAGTATCCAAACATCCCAATTTCATGCCTAACCATAAATATTACATTAACCCTTAACATTAACCCTCCATCCAGCACTGAAACAGAAGGTTTACACAGCCTCCTGGAGCCTTACTCTTTTACAGTGAAACATCACCTGGAAATGTACAATATCTTGCTCACTGCGTACTTGCTCCTTAAAGTAAAATAGGCCCTCGACTACAGATTCTTTGTTAACTTGACGAGAGATCTGAACACATTTGAAATGTGGAAAGGAAACAAAGGGGGAGACTGCAGATGGCAGACAGCCTTATGGTATGTACAACCTTGTGGGTGAACGTGTTCCCACACACTGTGCAGATGTTAGGAAGTATGATGGCACACAGACAGCAGATCTGGGATTAGATGTACCTGTACAACAGGGTGCCCTCCGGTCGGTGCCTTCACTGCCCCCCTGCTGCCCTCAGTTTCATAATGGGCACGGTGGTGAGGTTTGGGCTGGACATCAATGTGTAGCTCAAACTGGTCTGATCGGCTGGGGACAGGCCACTCCAGAGGAGGCAGGGAAGCCACAGGAATGCTGCAAAGCCAGATCACAGTTGTGAAGATCTCCTAGTAAAACTAAAGCCAGCTCTAACATTCTTACTCCTTTGTGTTACACGATTGCAACAATTAGTCCAGCTTGCCAGAAGTCTTGAACTCCACGATCCTCTCGTTCATTTTCTGCAGGAATGATCTCTTTCAATTTGCAATTTCAAATGTCAATTTTGCAATTTATAAACAAGTATTTTACCATCAATTTAAAATTATTTTCATCCAGTATTAGCAAAATTTTCAGATTCTGCTTTGTCTGTCTTATAATTTTCCTTAACTGTCTTTGTTAATAAGTAACCCGCTTTGCACCTTTCGATATCAGGCGTTTGAGTGCAAAAGGCAAAAGTAAAAGGGAAAAATCTTATTCATTCAGTTTATTTGGATCCATTTAGTGCTTCATTAGCCGTGAAGTTCTAGTCCAGCTCAGGGCGTGCAAACAGCAACAATTTAGAGACACCAGTTAACTTAGTCAACCTCTCTATGTAAAGTAGGAAGAGACTTGAGCATCTGGTGGAAACCCACAAGGACATGAGATGAACACCCCAGTGCCTTGCGGCTTTCAATATTTAAATCATTCTTAATGATATCTAAACTATTTAATTGACCTAGTGCCCTCATTTGGTGTACGACCTATAAAGCATCCAGAAACAGGCTACCCCTGGCATAGACAATTAAATTGTTACTCAAAGGGTTCACTAAACCTATGGCCTTATTATGATCATCTACTACGAAATCCTAATGACCATGGCATGATGTGCCCGGATTGCAAGTTATGTCATGGGAGTTTTGGCAGGGTATTTACCTGTAAAAAGGGATTCCTGACACCAACTGTTTGGTCCAGCTTGTAGGTGGAACAAGATAGCTTACGTCTGAGCAAGGCTTTCTCTTCACATCCTGTTCGCAGACATTCTGGTATCCCTCCTGCGGGTTGTCCAGAGAGTAAACTTGGTAAGCTTGGCTGGTTTTGCCGATCTTGTGGGGAATGTTGAGGCCATTCATGGCGTCGGTGAGGCTGACCGACCAGGCCGAAGATGCGGTCGGGGGAGGCTGGGTAAGCTCGGTGAAGTTCTGGGGAGACGGGCTTCTGGAGCGATGCTTGGTGGCCGTCAGGCTTGGGTTCTTGTACTCGTCGTAGGTCCGTTTCCCCTGCGGGGAGGTGGAGCGGGAGCCGGGACGGGGAGACGGGGAGCGCGGCCTCATGCAGTTTTCCTCGGTGATGCTGGTCCGCGGCGAAGTGCCGGGGGAGGTCCGGGGAGAGCCGCTGGTGTGGATGTTCTGGAAGCGAGGGCAGAGGTCTTCTGCTTGCCCGTTGTTGGGGGAAACGCAGGGGGAGGCCCAGGGGGAGTAGTTGCTTTCCGATTGCCAGCTGGTGGAGGAGTTGCTGCTTGCTGGGCTCAGGCACTGGGGTTCCCGGTACACTACGTTATCAACTTGTAACGTCGACCTTGGACTGGCGTTGAATGGGTGCCCCTGTAAGGACTCCCGGCCCTGGTGATAGAACTCATGGGATGGGGTGATCTCGATTCTTGGGCTCAGGGCAGAGGGGCCCCCAGGCCTGCCTTGGTCCAAGTAGTTTTTGTTCTCCAAATGTCCATACCCACCGAGGTGTTCTGGAGGAAGCTCAGTATAATGGGATGGGCTGCAGGGCTTGATGGCGTAGTGAGAGGCCTCCTCGTGGGGGTAGGGCACCCCAGAGGGATGGCTGATGGCTTTTTGAGAGGAAATATCTGGCTCATCTGAAGAAAGGAAATAAGAAACTTTCAGGGGAAAATGATCATCATTATACGGAACACTTGGTCTGCATGCCCTTGTTGAAGGCTGGATAGAGTTTGCAAGAAAAACATGGAGAAAGCGCTACAGCTTAGAGATGGCCAGCACATCCATGACAACACAGTCCAGCAGGGTTTCTAGCTTACCCTAAATCAGGTCTAATCGACTTGAGCCCCTTCCAATCTGCTCCATTTTAGATTTCAGCTTCAACCAGCTGCTTAATTATTTAACTGATAATCAGCAAGCTCAATACAGGGATAAAGGAGGTGGTTGTATCAGTATTCTGGATTGTAGTGAGCTTCAAGTTGAGTAGCCCCATCCTAAATCATCAATTTCTAAGAACTGAATGAAGATTGTGATTTAATACAGTTGGTTCATTTTAGTGCTTATGATGACTAATTAACTAAAAAAATGCAAGTACCTAGCTGACATAAAAAAGTACCAAGTCTTTAGCGATGGAGTTAGTGGTGTAACCTATGACATGTACAGGATTGTGGATCTCAGGCCACCTTTGACACAGAATAACCAACACACTCTGATAAAAGATGACCCAAAACAGGATCCACTTCATTTTTGTTGCCAGCTAGGTGCTTGCATTTTTGAAACACTAGAAAGATTATATAAAATACAGGAAGGACACAGGAAAGATTCCTTGTTGCATTAGTGTGCCATCAACTTTTTTTTCTCAAACTAACCCTCACCAGGCTTTCCTGCGCTGGCCTGATTAATATGTCCTCCATGTGGACTCACATTCTAGCTCAATATCTCAGCTCTCACAGACATGATCAATAGCTATTAGAGGGTATGCCTGGAAAAGCTAAAAATGAAAGGCTGCTACTTCTGCAGTTTTCCTGCAGAAAACCACCATAGTAGGGCACTCCTCATCTATGATATATGGACTTGTGTCATCAGAGTAGGAAACTGCAGTGAACAAAAAAGAGGTGGAGACTAATTCATGAAAAGCAAGTCTCCCACAACAGTGTGAATATCACATTGGCTTCTGCCCCCAGCTGAAATATTTCAAACTTTGATGGATACATTGAAAATGACATGGTGGAGATAAGATTGCATTGTCTTTGGAGGAGCACACAAAGAAATCTTTTTGTTTATTTCCCATGGTGCACGTGTGACTCTTTATTGTCCTTCCTGCTTTAAATTTCAGTGACCTTCACAGCCCACTATCACCATCAATCCAATAAACAGATAAAAAGTCTTTGGGGACACTGCCATAAACAGGACAAGAAAACTAATTTCGCCGTGTGCTGTACCATTTTTGGCACATCACTGATTTAGATCCAGCTTTCTCTTCCCTAGGAATCCCTAGACAACCCATCTTACCCCTTTAAACTTGCTGAAATGTTCTTCATGTAAACACCAAAATCATGTTTAATCTGATAACCAAGACAACACTGATCTGAAGTCGAAGTTAAAGGGAATCAGGTAATCTGGCAAATTCTATGTATTTTGTTAAAAAATCGCAGGCGTTTTTTTATTTTTTTTATGCAAAGTGATACAAATATCTAGCAAGGAAAGCATGGAGTCTCTCAGTGTTTTTATTTCTGAACTACAAAACAGGCAGCAGTTGAGGATCCTTACGATTACATGTAGAGGCACTTTGGTGCAGTTTTACTTCCAGACTTTTCAAGGCAAAGAGCAAGGTCCTGTTTTATAAACTCAATAAAAAAGTAAATACAATCAAACAGGCCTCAGAATAAATATTGATCCTTTTATGAGTAACTGTCTGAACACAAATCCAGTTTAGTTCAAATTAGTACTGTATTAAAAACTTAATCTGTCCTGCCCATAGACAGTCAACAAACCTGACTATGTAAGTATATGGCTTTTAAATTCAATATGAGCCAGACTTCCCAATAAACACACAAGTAAGCAGACTTCACAAAGAAAAAAAGCTCCTCGCATATCACTTTTTGTTGTCGCCAAAGGCATCACAACAAACTGTACTTCTATAGAATCAATTCTTAACACACTTTCGCTTAAACCGCTAGAAATGTTCTAAAACTGTATAGGAGAACTAATGAGTGCAATAAACCTGGAAGAGATACTGTATAAACGTATAAGAGAAAGTATAGTGATCTATACTTTTACAAACGCTATCTACTACACTTAATAGATCATGTTAGACATACTGTACAGTCTCATAAATTGAAAGTCTCCATCTCTCTTGGGATTAACAAGAGTTAATGAGTTCAGCGGGTGTAATAAGTAACAAGCGGCGTGACGTTTAAACTCTAGTTACTAGCGACACATCTGTTAGAATAAACGTACTTTTACGATTTTTTTTAACAAATGCATTTAACAAATTGCCGTGATAGATCAAATATTGTTCTGCTAAAAAAATTCAAATCCTTTGAATCAGTCCTTATGAATTAATTAAATCTGTCGATGACAAACTGAAATTGATATTAAAATTAACTCGGCGGTTTGAAAATGGGATTTTCAATTAATTGTTTTAAGTGTCTGGAATACAACATGAATAAATGTAAACACAGGCTGCAGATTAAGCAATTAAAAGTGTTTTTTTTTATTCGCAGGTGCACCGGCACATGTCTGTTAACGCCTCGTAACTGTGGAACTTTAAACATTACCATTTTTCTTGTTACAAAGTAATTTGAATAAGATGTATTCTTTAAACACGTACAGTAGTAGTGTTTACCCCTATAACAAAGCACATATCTTGCAGGAACATTATTTATATGATCAATCAAATTAAACAGCAGAACCGTCTTCACCAGACAGCACTGGACATCATGGAGAATACATACCTTGTTCAAGGTACTCACTGCAAGGTGGATCGTATTCAAACAGAATAGAGAAGTCTAACTCATCTTGACAGTTCACAGGATTGAGGTCTTCGGTTATGCCTAAAGTATTAGGGTTAGGTTCCTTGTCTTCGTATAGGGAGGTCATCTGCTCTTATTTCCCAAGCTTAAAACGAGGAAGCTTTTTTAAGAAAGAAATCCCTTTTTTTACAAAAAAAAAAGAGAGCAATCCGAATCTGTTTTTTGTTCTTTCTTTAAAGATCGTCAACGCAACTAATAACAGAAGCTTTTTAGCTTTGGTCTCCCGACAAATGCAATGTCTTGTACAGCTAACTGGCTTGAACTACTCCCTTCATTAAAAGTGTGAATTTGACAAGGCTTACAGTGGCAGTTTCCTGTTTCAAATCAACCACATGCTGATAAGGCGTACCCTTTTCATAAAGTAAATATATACAGCGACAGACAAACGCAGCGTGAACACGCCTCCTAATGATCATAACATAGAACAACCGAGCCTAAATTCATTCACAGGTATCCCCCTAGTTTTTTCATGAAGAAAAGATAAGGTTAAGATAACCCATTTTTTAAGCATTATTTATTTATTTGTTGTTGTTGTTGTTGTTGTTGTTGTTTAAGGTTAGGAGGAATTGTGTGTCAAGCTGTCGGTTTGAGACCATTTAACACTGAAAAGAGAGAGGATGCGTGAACGAAAAGGTGTGTAAAAGTTCACAGAAAGAGTTTTTGATGCCTTTTCACTCTGAAATCTGACCACAAAACAGTTCTAATGGAATGCAGCACTATCTGACCATAAGGTATGAATCTTGTTTATTTTAACAAACTCCTGAATTGAAAGCGTATTTACTGTATGTCTTATGTTCAGGCAAACTTTAAAAAATGCACTTTGATATCTTTTTTTTAATGAGCAAGACATCTCCCCCAGTCTGGGGAGAATGAAAAGGGCTAATTGTTTTTTAAAAAAAGTTTTTAAAGAAAATACAGTATTAGAAAATACTACTGTATTCTACCAAAAACTACACCAGTCCATTGAGGGGCACACACCGATACAAACATACACACACACCAGGGTCAATCTTCCAGAAGCCAATGAAATCTACCAGTATTTCTTTGGGCAGTGGGAGGAAACCGACACAAACATAGGGAGAACATACAAGCACCCAAGCATTTGAACCCTGAGCTCCAGAGCTGTGAGGCAGCAACACTAACCACTGCGTCACAATGCTATAGCTTCGGTGCCCCTGAGATTTCTGTTACTCCTGATTGGTTTTGTTTTAATGCAATGTCAAATTACTGTTCCTTCAGACACAGCTTCTTTAGGGATGTCTAACATTGGGAGTGAAGACATGCTTCAGTTTGGACATGAACATGGACATGCATGAACAATGCTAAACATTCATTACAGAAAATTACAAAGCAGAGTATAACAGGGTTGCACATACCTACTGTAAGTGGGAAATACTAAGAGAGGCAGCAATATTGCTTTGTTAGTTTCCTTACAAAAGCTCATTGGTGAAGCTTACTGTATGTAATTAACGTTCTCTGCACCTACCTCAAAATTAGCAGATGCAAGCAATGTTTTGACTCTGTCATTGGGATACTCGAGTACCTTAGACATTTATGGGAGAAATGGCCCTTTGAGGTCATTCTATAGAGGTTTCTGTAAACAATGTAAACAGAATAAGAGACATATGCCTTGAAGATACCACTGGTTTCAAATGTCAGCCTGTTCTGTATAATTCTGTCCATTTTACAGTTAACACTGTTAACGGCCTTTGCCTGTACACTCAGACGTAGGTGTCATAACTCTTTACTAAGGTTCCAAGTTAGCAAACCGAAGGCAGCCTGAGAACTGAAAAGAAAAAATCATGCAGAAAGAATATAGAAGATAGATATGCTCCCTAACTAGCAAAAATATTGGGCAACCTCACCAAGTACTGTTTTGAATCAATGTGAGTAGCACGGAGAGTTTGGAGCACCATGTGACAATGTCTTCCACAAGGATTTTAAATTATTTCCAGTCCAATCCATGCTTTCCTTGGAGCAGGGTTGCCTTCACCGGAGGGCAGGGTGATGGTACTGAACTGCACGTTACAGCAGCTATCTGGATGGGAAAGGTAGACTCACTGGGGCAGGCAATGCATGGTTAGCTTGAAGAGCTAGAGTCAGAA